ATGGGCGTACTCATGCCACGTGTCTCCATCCCATGCAAAGCCGTGAGGAAGAAGTAGTGGCCCAGATCTTGCCACGTGTCACTCGCTGGTTAATCCCAAAAATTAATTATCTTCTAAAATCCATAACTTTCACATACGAGCTCTGCTTTTGACGTTCTTTATATCCGCGCGTAGGTAGCGACGTGATCTACAACTTTCATTTAGACCCCTTCGACTAATTTTGAAACTTATTTTTAAAGTTATATTTTAATAGGCTTAGACAGTTAAATTCCGTTTTCGACTGTCTTTATATCGTTGAGCTCCTATTAACGAGATTATCAATTCTCGTTTAGTTTGTGTTGGCTAAAAATCGAGCGATCTAAAATTTGATTTCCGGGCTGTGTACTCCTACACTAAATCTTAGAAAATTCATAACTTTCTCAAATGAAGTCAGATTTGGACGTTCTATATATGCACGCTCTCAGTTTAACGTCAACTACAACTTTTGTTTAGATTTCTAAGGCTAAAAAGTATTTCGTCAAAAATTAACTTTTTACGTTACGCGGAGCCGTGCCAGATTAATCGCGAAACTTCGACGGGTCATAACTTATTCGTTATAAGTCGAATTTCAGCGTTCTTTATATGTACGAAATCCTTGTGACATATACTATAACTTTGGATAAGATTATTTACTCCAAATAATATTCTATCAAAAAGTCATTTTTAACGCTTATTGTCTCTAAATTGACTAGCCCGAATCTGCGGGCATAACACGACACATGGCGACATTCTAGAAGCTATGACGCGGACGAACCCGGAAGCAACACGCGGCAGAAGAGCATTGGAGCCAACACAACTGATATGCGCGGTGCGCCACTGTTCATGCACGACGCATATTTCCAAACTTTATAAATACAACTTCATTTTCGTATAAGCTCCTCATCATTGCCCCTATAAACTCTCTTTCTTTCTCTCTCTCTCTCTCTCTCTTGATATTCCCTTATGTAGACCCTTTTTCCTTCATTTCTGGCTTGCGGCGAAGCCCTACGACACCCCTGAGTGCTCAGCTAGTTTTAATATTTGAGTAGGAGGTCCCGAGTCAGAATTCTGCTCACTTAGTTCCCGGTTCTCATCTAGGATACTCTGTAAGTGAACTGCACTTACTCTGCTTCCGTGTAAATTATGATTATAATTATAGCGTTCATTAGGAACCTATAAATGCTTGATCCGTCGTTAATTCTGAGTTATAATATTTATCGATCTATCTACGGGAGATGTGTTTAGAATGGTCATGTTGACGTGGTTGTGGGATTTCATACAGACTATACGCCGAAATGGTATTGCTTCCCAACTGTCAGACCTGGCTGATCCTTATTTGATAGAACTCTCAATATTCATTGGGAATAGCGAAAGATCTAGTTTTCATTACCAGATTGTCGTAGAGATTAATATGATAAAGTATTATAGGTTAATACTTGCTCGACGCACTATCTGTAATTCGGATCGTCAATAGAATCGCCAGACAACTGTCAATCTTATGGGTCATTGTCAAGGTTAGTTTACTGACTATATTATGTGTTCCAATATATACCCTTTGTATGTTAGGATATAGTTGCCCAGTAGTACGCCATTAGGTTAGTTCTGTTAGTGTCCTGTAATATTAGATCATTGCCTGTTGTACTGAATATATGTGTTAATATAATATGTGGGGTGTTGAGGGCAGACTAGCTTCGTGTTGAAGGCCAATAGACTCTAGCGGACTAGCATTAAGCTAAAGGCCAAAGTGTAGACGAGCTTTACGCTGTAGGCAAATAAGGGCGGACCAGCTTCGTGCTGGAGCCCAAGGGCGGAACAACTTTATGTTGAAAGCCATTATGTGTATGCCTTGTATATGTATTGTGGGATATGATATTATGTGGAACTCACTAAGCTTTGTGCTTACCTAGTTGATTATAAATGTTTTTCAGGTACTCCATCAGATAATAAGAAGGCGGAAGCTCGACTATACACACGCATTGGCAACATGTTTCCGCATACGCTCAGAAATAAGATAGATGACTTTTGAATGTAAAACATTGGTATTTGTCACGAATAAATGAAATGTTGTTTTATAAAAATGAAAAAATTTATCTTGAAAATCGCGACGGTATAAATGTTATACTTGAACCGTTTAAATTCATCAAACCATTCCACAACAAAATGTCTTTGCTTCTCACGAACTTTTTTTGATGGAAAATTTTATCCCTTTGGTTGAAAATGTCCTTTAATTAAATATGCCCTCCTTATTTCATCCCTTTGATTTGGATTATAAGATGTAATCTTTGAGCTGTCCCCTGGGTCTTAAAAAAGATCATTCAAATCAAAGCTTGTTGGTGTAGGTATTGTAGGGGTAGGTTGTGGTCTTTGTGGACTTTCATTAGAGTCATTCTTTTTGGAAGATCCTTCACCATTTTCATCACTAACGACTTCTAAGTTTCTTTTATAAATTTTACAAATTTTATCGTACACTAAAAATTTATAATGAAAGATTTCAACAAATTAGTATACCTTTTTAACTAATAAGTAATAAATAATTTCAAGATCCAACAATAAACTTGATTTCAATAACCAAAATAAGTAATAATTAAGCAATAACTAAGTGCTAACCCTAATCAAACAAACCTAATTGCTAAATTTTAGTTTTTCCAAGTTTTCAAGAAAATAAGAAATAACTGAAATAACCCTAAAAACTTGCTTAAATGTTTAATGTTTACTTGTTTCATTCTTCCAGGTAAAGAGGGAGGTCGTCGGAGTTGTGGGAGTATCGGACGCGACAATGGCAGTGAAGGTTATCGGAAAAAACGTTGGAAGTGGGAGAAGCAGGGATAAGGGCGTGCATGCATCGCATAAGAGACATGATATCAACTTTCTATTTCTTTCTTTCTTCCATGATCGAACCAAGTCACCAGGGGCCAATACTCCAACTTCATTAAAACTATTGAGTCATTCTGTTTGGATATTGAGTTCTTTTTTATTTTGGCTATTTAATTATCATATTATTCAAGTTTGGACTATTTTCTTAGACTAAAAAATGTAGGGTATTTAATTATCATATTATTCAAGTTTGGACTATTTTCTTAGACTAAAAAATGTAGGGGGTAGCACATTTATTTTTCAGTGGTTCCATCTATACGTAAAAGAATTCAAAAATTTACTAATACTCGGAAAAGTTTGAGGAGTAGCACAAACTACCCCATGCATACACTACGGTCCACCATCGCGTTTACAAAAGCTAGAGTTGGTTGGCAATACGTATACATCAAAAAGTTTAATGGGATTTTTTGTACAATTATAGTACTTTCTTACTCTTATAAATCATTTTCCCTGGTTTGGTAGAATGGTATCTTAGTTCAGAAAACAAGGAATATATGATTTCATAGACAGGTATTTAAAAGTACACATTTGCTTTGCCAAAGTCTAAATTTTTTAGAACTATTTTTAAGAAAACAATTCAATGAAATGCCAAAGTGTATAAATGGATAAAATACCATAGGGATAATGACTTAAAATGGTAATATACTTTTCGATTTGTACACATTACTCATTGAGTTTTTTTTGTCCACATTTACTCCTTTTACTTGTTTAAGTGTATACAGTTAGTCTTTATGACCGGCTACTTCAGGTAAGCCGGTAAAAATGAATTAAAAGGGTAATATATTTCTTACTTTGTACATATTTAGTCCTTAATATTTTTTTGCACATTTAGTTCTTAATATTTTTTTATTGCAAAATAAGTCCTTGTTGTTTTTGTACACATTCAATACTTATGACCGGTTTTTTTTAGGTTTTTCTCACAACATCCTACGCGAGACAATCATTAATAAGGTGTTCGGGGATGTTCATGCTTCTGGCCACCGCTGCCTCGGTTGCTTGGTTGCTTAGGTCTTGTGGTTTGACTTAGGTCTTGTGTTTTGAACGTCAAAACTTCTTCAACCGATCACATATTTTAACGATCTTTATATCAACGCGTTCATATTTGAGTCTACTACAACTTTCATTTAGATTACTTCCGTTAAAAAGCAATACATTTTTACTTACGATCTTTATATCCATGCGTTCTTTATAAATGTACGTATGAACGTTTTTTTTAATAGAATCGTAAATAGAAATATATTGATTTTAATGGAAATAATCTAAAAGAAAATTGTAGTAGACTCAAATACGAACATGTGGATATAATGATCGTTAAAATCCGTGATCGTATGAAAAAATTACGACGTTCAGAACACAAGACCTAAGTCAAACCACAAGAACTAAGCAACCAATTAATCGATGTCGCGGTGGCCATATGCATGAACAACCCTAAACACCTTCTTAATGATTGTCCCACATAATATGTCGTAAGAAAACTTAAAAAAACGGTTATATGTATCGAATTTGTACAAAAACAATAAGGATTTATTTTGCAAAAAATATATATATATTAATGACTAAACGTGCAAAAAAATATTAAAGATTAAATGTGTACAAAATGAGAAATATATTACCTTTCTAAATTATTTTTTCCGGTTTACTTGAAGTAGCCGGTAATTAAGACTAAATGTATACAATTAAACAAGTTGAAAGAGTAAATATGAAAGAAAAAAAATTAGTGATCAAATGTATACAAATCAAAAATCCCAGTATCATTATTTATTTATTTATTTATTTATTTATTTTTTATTTTTTTTTAGAGGAAACATGTCTAACTTCTCGAACAAGATATTAGTCAAAATTACAATCTTTTTGTCAACAATCAACATATGGACCTTACCATGTAGAATAATCAAAACATTAGGTATTCAACAGCAATTGAATAATATTTTCTCGTTTTTGGTGCCTGAAAAACGTTGACCATGAACAGCTCTTCAGATCACTGCGTCTTTACGTAACGCTCATAAATATTACAGCTGACTTATAGAGATCGATGAAGTTAATCTTTTCTGTATACAGATCATCTCCTTCTTTCATTCAATCAGTTCCATAATTACCAAACTGAAACGATGGACATCTTCAGCAATGAAGACACTGAACAATACGATCGAGCTGATGCGCTGAAGGTCTTCGATGAAACGAAAGCAGGTGTAAAAGGATTAGTTGACGCAGGAGTTACGAAAATTCCCAGAATTTTCATCCGACCACATGATGAACTAGTTGAAGAGTTGAATAGCAGCAAGGTAAGCTTAAAAATTCCGATTATCGATTTAACAGGCAGTGAAAAAGGTGATCGACGAAAGGAGATCGTTGAACAAATTCGAGTGGCTTCAGAAACATGGGGCTTCTTCCAAGTGATTAATCATGAAATCCCTAAAAGTTTGTTGGATGAAACGATCGATTGTATTCGGATGTTTCATGAACAAGAGAGTGAAATCAAGATGAAGTTTTATTCACGAGATCGAATGAACAAGGTGAGATTTGAAAGTAATCTTGACCTGTATCAATCTCGAGCTGCTAATTGGAGGGATACGTTGACTCTGTCGATGTTTATTTTAGATGAACTTACTCCCGATGAAGTTCCTTCAGTTTGCAGGCATGGTGTTTCTTACCCTTTTATATATGGTTATGTTCTTATTTCCTACTTATAATCGGTTCTTTTTTCTATCACCAAAGTTTAAAATCCAACAATAAGATCTATCTTTAGTGGACTTCTTTTTTGAAAGGGTATATTATAAGCTAATTTTGTAGCTATTTTTAGTATTTAATTGGTACAAAAAATGACAACCAACTTTTATCCAAATTATTGAACATGAAAACTTTTGCAATTTTAAGACTTTTTTTCCTGTTATATTAAACTTCTTAGCCAAATTAGAAATGGATTTATTTGGTGGAAAATAGATAAAAGCTTTCATATGTATATTAATAATATTATTTTTTTGTTTAATTTTGTTGCATAGTTTTAGTCCAATTGAGAATAGAGGTCACACATTAGTAAGTTGATTGTTTTGGGTTACATTTTATGATTTATCATAGATTAGGCAAAACAGTTTAACATCTTAAGTGAAATTTTAACCGATTAAATATGTTACAAATCACAAAAAAAACATTAATTATAGAAAATATTGTCATAATTAAATGTGAAATACATTAATTATAACTCAACTTTCTAAAATTATCATTTTGAAAAGGTAAAAAAAAAAAAAAAACAAACAAAGAGTTAATTATTATATGGTTTTATTTCAGAGAAACAATGCTTGAATACATAAAACACGTGACAAAATTTGGTGGTACTCTATTAGAGCTATTATCAGAAGCCCTCGGACTCCGGCCCAACCACCTCCAAGATTTGGAGTGTTGTCATGGCCGCACTTTCGTGTGCCACTACTATCCGCCATGCCCAGAACCGGAGCTAACCCTTGGATCTAGCAAACACACCGATCCCTCGTTTCTCACTCTTCTCCTTCAAGATAATATTGGTGGCCTTCAAGTCCGCCACCATGACCAATGGACTGACGTTCCACCCCTTGCCGGAGGTTTCGTGGTCAATATCGGTGACTTTTTACAGGTTTTTTTCAACTTCCTAGTTGGCATGCCTTGTATTCTGTTATTATTCTAGCAACCTCTCATCAGTTGATTCAAAACCATGACTTTACTGGAGACATGATATTTGGCTTTTTTGCATTTTAGTTGTGAGACCTGGAAGGGGCGTCCATGGGTTTCATAGACACTATTTTTGTTTTTAAAACACTCTTTTAGATTATTGGTGTAACGACTTTTTTTTTTTTTTTTTTTTTTTTTTTTTTTTTGTCTAGATTGTATCGAACGACAAGTTTAAAAGTGTTGATCATAGAGTCTTGGCTAACCACAATGGCCCACGGATTTCCATGGCATGTTTTTTCACCGGTGTTGCTGTTCCTCCGAAGATTTATGGACCAATCAAGGAGTTAACCTTACAATCTGATGGAAGTACACAGCCTGTATATCAAGATTTCTTGGTAAGTGAGTACATGAACAAATTTTTTACAAAACCTATTGACAAATCCGGCCTTGACTACTTCAAGTTATGAATGATCATGGTACGGGACTCGTTGTTAAGAGGGTTTTCCTTTTATAATTTCATAAAGATAAAGATTACAAATATCAGATAAGAAGATAATTTCCCACCGTTGGCTATTAGATTTGGGAAATGTAGTGCTTTCTATATTATTTATATATTGTGTATTATATATAACGGTTGAAAAAGAAGTCTGTTATATTGAGAACATGTAAGTCCAATAATTTATAGAGTAAATTACATATTTGGTCCAAACATTTGGTAAATATAAACCTTTGGTCTAAACTTAGCATTTGTTGCAAAGATGATTCCTATTTGAACCTAAATTGTCGTCTTTGGTCCCTCACGCTAACTCTTGTTTTTTTTACACTCAAGAAACCCTCATGTGCATGTACATGTGCCATGCACATAAAAGTATTTTTGGTCATTTCAAAATGTACCGTTCTACATCCCTCTTCGTCTCTTTGTTTCTAACATAGTTTAGTAACTTAAGTAGACTCAAGTCCATTGACCTTGCCCAAAATGGTGATCATCCGACTTAAGTAGACTCAACTACACATAAATTGTATCAGTGTAAATCATATCATGGTCATTGATTCAGCTGTAGAGTGTGAGAAGTAAATGCTACCAAGTAGACGTGAAGTGTATATATGGTTTGTACTCTCTGTCCTTGCCTTTGATTCTCTGACCTCACCTTTGATTCTTATTCCCCCGCTTTCATTATATATGGTCAACTATACTTTTATGATACCAACTTTTGTGATTTGATTGTCCAATAAATATTTATTTATTTAGTTGGGTTTTATAGAAGACTATGAAAACATATTGAACATAAAACTACATCATGGTGGGATGTTCACCCTGATGGGTTTGAGCCAAAAGAACATCCTATGTGCTCATGCAAACCCTAATGCTTGGATCTAGGTTTATCTAATTGTACATACATTCATCCAAGACTTTCAAACCCTAGATCTAGCATATGATATTCGAAATTAACATATGTAAACAGATCTAGATGATTACCTTGTTGTTGATTTAAGATCTTGAAGCCTTGAGAACCTTAGCACCTCAAGTGTTGTGCCTCTAATGAATCACAAACACCAATAGAAATTGGAGGAAACAAGAGAGAGAGAGAGAGAGAGAGAGAGAGAGAGAGAGAGAAAGAGGGGGGAGAGGAGAATTTCGGCTCTAGGACTTCTAGGGTTCAAGTAGCCGAAATTCCCATGCCTAGGGGTCTTTTATATAGGTGTAGGAATTAGGGTTTCAATGGTTATCCTTATCTGTTTACTTAGCCACCAAGCAGCCCAAGGATAATTCTAGAATCCCTATGGACGAATTCTTTAGGCTTTATCCCTAGAATTCGTCCACCCTATCTATTAGGGTTTCCTTGCCCTACTTTGTAACTATCACATAATTACAGTTCACCCCCTTAAGTTCTATTAACTTCTTTTGATCACAAAACTAATTCTTAATTAATTATTGACCAATGTTAATTAAACAAATATGATTTCTCTTTTAAAATATTAGTCTTATAATATATTAATAAACCATAATAACCTCTTTCTATATTATTCCTCCAGTCAAGTTGCTTTGGTG